AGGTCAAGAACTTGACGTTAATGCCGAAGAAGAGATTCCAAGTGCGAAAGAGGGGTATTACAGGACGGAGGTAGCCGAAAGTCCAGAACCCATGTACGTTATAAATCCTTCAGAAGAACGGCCACTTGAACCTATCGAAGAATCAGTACCGGATCTCAGGAACGTCCTATCAGAAGAAACGTCTCCTGGGTGTCCAACACTAAATGAGGAGAGTCTAAAAACCGACTCCGAAATTGAGGATATGCTTTCAACTGTAGAACGTGTACAGGAAGAAATAAAACCACCTGTAATTATAGAAGCTTTCCATCGCACTGAGGAATCAGAAGTTTCTAGTTCCGAATTGGGGGATTACCAGATATACGATTCCAGCGAAAACGCTGTAGAAAGTACTTCTCGTGCTACAATTCACGCATTTGGAGAACTCCACGGGTATGTGGAACCGGAGGTTCCGGTTGCGAAGGAGTGTAAGGAGACTGAGGGAGCGGAATGTTCAGAACCCGTAAGAGTTACGACTGTTTTAGTAGAATTGTCAGCAGTAGCAATCGAAGAGGGAGTACCGCATGTCAAGGAGGTTCTATCAGAAGAAGTGTCTCCTAGGACTCCTACACTAAATGAGGAAGGTCCGAAAACCGATACGGAAAGGGAGGATAAGCTTCTACCAGTCGAAGTTGTACAGGAAGGAGGAAAACCACCTAAAGGTAGAGAAGCGTTCGAGCTCGCTGGAAAGTCAGAAGTTTCAGGTCGAGAGTCGAGAAATTACCGAATGTATGATACCACCTCAGCCACGGTAGAAAGTGCTTCTCCTTCCACAGATCGCGCAGGTCGGGAACCTTACAGTAATGCGGAAGAAGAGATTCAAAGTGCGGAAAAAGAGTGCAACGGAATGGAAGGAGCGGAAAGTGCAGAACCGGTGAGCGTTATAAATGTTTCGGAATAAATGCTAGTAATGTCTGTCGAAGGGGGAGTGCCTCATTTAGGTTCTTCTCTGAGTTTTATCGTGTTGCTTGTTGCTGTTTTGCATATTTCGTGTGTGTCTGTCTTTGTGTGGTGATTGAGTAATTTCTTTGGTGATGTTTTAAGGTACTTCAGTGAGCATTTCTCCTAGATTAGGATGCGGTGCGTTTGATTGTGAGGTTTTTGATAGTGTTCTGTTTTTTTTTGGGGGGCAGCAGATGGCTTTATTGAAGTGGTTGTTTAGTATTCTTCGAGGGTCGGTGATTGTGTTTCTGTAATATTGTGGCATCGGGGCGGTTTTCTGTTACGAGTGTCGGAGATCTGCGACAGTATCGCTTAAGAGTTGTAGTAGCAACTTATTTATTCTGTCTTTAAAAATAGTTTGTGTTGATTTTTTTGTTCTGCAAATATTTAGATGCGATACTTCTGGAAATGAGCATTGATATGTTTGATGGAGGCAGTTTTTTAAGGAAGAAAGGGTGAAGATCGCATTATTGTTCGTTTTCTGTAGCGTCATTTTTTACAAAAGAAGATACGGTTTCCTAGTTATTTGTTAGCTTATTACGACTTAGTTTATAGCCGCCAATTTTTTTTTGAAGACAAAATTTTGACGTAAGATTGCTTGCTAAGACACTCTACAATGAATGTGGTAGTTTTTTCCAGAAGAGGTTTTTATACCGTCTAATTAATATAAGAATAAGATATAAAATCTAAACGATTTTCAGAAAAGTGTCTTTTGTTTTTTTGTTTTAATAGCTTAGGAAGGTCGCATCGATAAAACAGAGAAGGGCGATAAGATGGCATTTCTGAAGTTTGCTGGTAAAGCTGGAAGCATGATTTGAATCCTCGGTTTCGCATGCTTATAACTGGAGTGTGCTAGCTAATCAATTTTGAAGTATTTTGAAATATTTCCTTGTTCCTTTTAGCAATGAAATAAATAGACTGCCCAGTCTCTCTTTAATATGACTGTTATTTCCTCTTTTCATAACTGCAGACTCCCAATTTTAACGTCACTTATATTTTACTGTATTTTTTCGCATTTTATATAAGCGTTCTAGTTGTATCATCTGTATTTCTTCAGAACTAGGGTTTAATTGGACGTTTGAAGTCCGGTTACCTCAGCAAGGCTGTTCTTGAGTTTTTGATAGTATTTTACAAATACACTCTGCTCTAGATAAGAATAGTTTCTTACTTAAACAGCTAACTCCACATTTAAGAAATAGTCACATTAGGAATTATAGAGTGCTGAAAAACAATAGTGGAACAATAGAATTTTGAAGTGAATTCTGCAGCACTAGTGGTCTTGAATCTTAAAGCTTTCAAAACTACAGTCTGGCAGTGGATATGCGTCTTTCTCAGTATGCTGCCTAAAAATGCAAAATATTTTTAAGACTTCGCTGACCCGCCTTTAACGGTTCAGCGTTTTAAAAATGTGTGATTTTCTAAAGAACTATCTTCATTCTAAACGGCACTACAGACTTCATCTCCGATTCTTTCTGTATTTTTGTTTCCGCTAAAATTTGTTGCATTTTTAGAAGCGAGTAAAGAATCTAAATTATTTCTGCTGCAGATAAACCCTTCAAACGGAATTGCCGTTCAAAAAATGATTGGTGAAGCAAGTGGCAGTACTGCACTTCGACTCAAAATGTTGCTAAAAAGAGAATCATTCAGAAAGAAACTTCTAAAGACTAGATTTAAGGAAGAAGATGTTCAATTTTGTCTATACATGATCGAAAACTATGGGAAAGATTACGAGGTGACTATTTTCTAGTTTTTAACTTTTGTTTTTCAGTTGATCTTTTGCATGTCAGTTAAACGAAAGGAACTTCTAGAAACAAAAGAGTAATTACACCTTGGAAAGATCAGGATCACAGTAATTGGCAATATTTGAAAAATCTTTGTGAGACCTTATTTTGATGATTCTTTTACACTGTGGGAATATGTATCAAAATTGCTACATGACTGCTCATTTGCTGAAGCGAATAAGTACTGAGGTTTTTGACGTTGTAATTCCCTGTTCGTTTTATAACTTTTTCACTGAAAACACTGAAGAGTTTTCGACAGTGCTGATAACATCTTTCCATTACTGTTTTTTTAATCTGATCAGAGATTTTATGCACTGAGAGTTAAATGATATTGCGAAGTACCATATTTTGTTAACAATTATTACTGGGGTTTCTGCCTTCTAAATTTGTCAAGAGGTCTCACCGGAACTTTTGCTTCAACTTCTTTATCAGTTTCAGGCTATGGCGAAGGATAAACAGAACATCTACAAAAATACTCCAAAGCAAATTGAGTGGAAAATTGGAGTTTTCTCGCGCAGCCCTCTATACGATGAATATTTAGTTTAGTATCGACAAAACAGTGTAGAGCAACTTTAACTTTAATCTTCCACCATTCTTTCAATGTAGAGCGGTTTTAGTTGTTTTAGTCAAACTGTTATTTAGAAAATATAGCTGCTAAACAAGGCTCTTTTTATCGATCATCTATTAGTAGCTTAAAGATAAACTTTTGCACTTTTATAGTCATTACTTGATTCTAAATAATCGTGTTGATTACTACTTTGCTAATTCTCGATCACAGAAAAGTGCAATAAAAAAAAACGGTAACTTTTTTTTTCTGCTTGTTTTTAGCCTGAAATAAATATTGACTGTTGTTGCGACTAGTAATTTTCTAATTTTTACTGTTTAACTTCTTTGTTTTTATTTATATAAATAACTGTAAATTAGTTATAGTGTCATTTTTTCCTTGTTGTAGTCTAATCTTGTTTTGTCTGCATGGACTAACTGCCAGTTTAGCTTTATTGTAAATAGTTACATATTTTTGAAATGCAGTTTATGAGGTATACAGTTCTAAACAACAAAGAAGGAACTGTTTGTAATTTTGCTGCAACTTAATACTGCTTAATAAATTTTAAACTTTTTTTCAAAGCAAGTAGTACTGCGCAAAGTGTCAGTACAGAAGGCCCGGAAAAAATATGGTCATTACTTCTTCAATACATTCTATGCGGTAAAAGACAACAATTTTATCCTTTTGTCAAAATACAGAAAATGTTTAGAAAGCTGCGGGATGTAGAGGTTGAAAGTGAAAAAATGAAATTTGTTTTTGTGGACTTTTCCTATGCAAAAAAATTTTTTTGAGATTTAGATATTCTTTCAATGTTGTCTAACAATTTTTCATTTCAGTTTTATCATAATATATAAGAACTGCGGCAAAATAGCAAAAGAAAACGCACAATTCGAAGTCAACTTCAGTGTGACATTGAGTCTTCTCCAACATTTATTTTGTCTGTGACTTTTTTTCTTCTTTTCTGAACAGACATAGTTATCGAATGATTTTCGGCTGAATGATATTGTGACTTTTTTTTATTGAAAGTATCGGCAAAGAACATAGTTACGTTTATAAACATACGCCAGTATAGGTGCTACACTTTTCCTACGTCATATTTATGATATGAATACAACGTTAATCAAAAAAAGTGTCAAAAATTTGATGTTGAAAGAAGAATTTTTTCTTTTACTGATCGACAACTGTGATTCACTGAGCTGTTGAGGACTGAAATATGTGCGTGAAGGCCGCAACGAATAAGATCCAATATGGTACTAACCTGCTATAGCGTAAATTTGTGTGGTTAACCGCAGTAAGTGTTCGATAAAAAGAAGTGTCAAAAAAGAACATTTAGCGACAACTGCTACTAGAAAAGCTATTTTTGGTCTTCCTGAACATATTGTTTTTATTAGTGACAATTTCTTACTGTACTTTTTTGGCAGTTCAAAACTGTTTCTTGAACTGCAGTCAAAACAATAAGTGCTTCAATTCTTATTCCTGTTGTATCTCGCCGTTATTGTTACTTCTGTTTTGATATTTCTATTTGAAGTTTGGCAAAAAGTCGTTAGAGGAGAGTATTTTGGCCTTTTTTCTTTTTTTGCAGCAGTTTATTACTTTTTGATCATTACATTAGATTTTCCTGTTATCATGGTAAGACTTTAAAAATGGTTTTTAGAGAAACTTTAACTTGCGATACAGAGCAAAGTAAAAAGTTTTTTTTCACACCTTGAAAATAATGCGAAGTGACTGAAGAGTTCTTTTACAGGCAGCTGAGATGAGAAATGCAAAACATTGGTTATCAATTACTGAAGAAACTATTAGGGGATGAACTTTTTTACTGATAGCCCCTCAAAAGGAGAGGGTTGATAAGTGGTTATTAAAGCAAGTCTTGGCACTGTGTTTCATCTCACAAATCCACCAAAAGGATAATCATTTGGGTCCATATAATCTGACATTAAACGTCGTGCACCAAAGCGTAGACTCCTGCTGGAAAATGTTCAGTATTGTGCTTACATGACTATAACGTACAGGGAAGATTGCAAGATGACTACCTCTTAGTTCTTAACTCTCATTTTTTTCAGTCGTTCCTAACTAATCGCTCATTGACAAATGAAAGGTTTCTACAGTCATTACTGACAATTTAAAAAAATATTTCTTTTTAAATCAAGAGAATAAAATACATGTTTGAAGATGGAAGAATAGTTGTGCCTTGGGAAGATCAGGATCAAAATGATTGTCCGTATTTGACAAACTGCTGGGAGAATTTATTTTAATGATATTTCTACACCGTGAGGGTCTGTAAAGAACTATTCAAATATTTCTCATTTATGAAAGCGAATTTGTATCAAAACTGTCTGACGTTGTAATCTCACTTTCATTCTGCAACTCTGTTTTGGACGCAATGAATGATTTTTGACAATGCTGATAACATCTTTCCATTACTTTTTTAAACTGCGCAGATTTTAGGTACTGAAAATTGAGTGGTACCGTGAGATGTCATGCCTTATTTATTACTGAAGTTTTCATTCCTAAACACGCAAAAAGTTGTTGCTGGATATTTGACTCAGCTTTTCCATCACTATTAATTTTTTTAGATTAGTCTATTATTCGTAACACTATTAGGTACTTCGGCTCATATTTTTTACCACTTGAACACTATAATTGTTACAGTGAAGTAACACTTGTTAACTTACTGTAGTTTTTTCTTTTTTCACTGACGCAAGGCTTGAAAACAGCGGAAAACTTTGTCTAAAAACTGAAGCCCCTCAAAAAATTCTAGTTTCCCAGTATGAGAAAAAATGTTACTAATGATGACTTTAGCGTAGACCAAGAGCGGAAAAAAACATCCGGTCATGAGCAGCGCTCAGTACAGAGGTAGAACAGAGCGGTTCTCATTTTAATGTTTCATCAGTTTGCCCCTAATGATTAAACTTTTCTTCTAGACGGATTGTCGTCTAGCAGATATACCACTCAAGCACTTTCTTTGACTGTCCATTCAATAGCAGCTCTAAAATTCAAGAAGAAAAAGGGTTAAACTTGATGCCTTATTTTTATTCTCATTTTAACCATTTGGCTGTCACTTACAGCAAAGATTTTAATTTCACAATGACATAAACTCCTTTTCCCGTCCAACAACACTTCCTTAAACGTTGGACCTTCTTAAGAGTATTTGAAAGATAGTTCAATGAGAAGAGGAAACAAGTCTAACGCATTCAAAAATAAAATTACACATTTTTCAACAAGTTCTTATTTCTTAAAAACTGTTTCTAATATTACACTTTATTCATTATACAACTTCAGTGTATTGATATTAAAAAAAACGGTAATTTTCCTTTTCCCCGTCTGTATGTTGTAGAGGCAAAGTGGAAATTATTACTTTTCGAGCTCTACTACTGAGTTTCATATTCATCACCTTTTGAACACCCTTATTTTTACAGTAAAGTAACACTTGTTAACTTCTAGTGATTCTCCCTTATTTTACCGATATAAACTTCTTGAATAAGGAAAATTCCGTCAAAACTTGAGCCCCTTCAACCAACCAAATTTTTGCTTCAAAAAAGTGTCGCAGTAAGGACTAGAGTAGAAAACTAGGAGAAATGCGGTTAATAGTTTCCCAGTAAAATTCATTCGCTAGCCAATGAAAATTTTATTAGTGCTTTCATTGTACTAGAATACGTACAGTGAAATGGTCAGAATAATCAGCTGTAGCGTTTAAAGTTCAAGGAAAAACTTTGCTCAAATAGGTCCCTTCTTCTCGGGAAAAACATCAAACACGTGAAAAACGCAGGCACTTTCAACCGAGGAGGCTAAAACAGTGATTCATTGACGAACAACAAAGCCAAGAAACGAGAATGCTCAGTTTCAAGAAAAAAGCACAAAAAATTAAACACTGGCATAATGCATATTAAAAAAAGCAATTATGATTAAACAGAGTACGACCAATAACAAGTAGAAACTATCAAGTACAGGTACTTAAGAAAAAGAACGAGAAAACTAAGGGCCGGGAGATCTATTCTCACAACGTCAGAGAACTGAGGTCCAACATCCCAACACTTATTCCTTTTAAATTTTTTTCCTTCCACCAAAATGGCAACACTACTCTACAGAAGTCAAAATGAATTCTTGCATTAAAATGTCTTCTTCAGCTTTTCTTTAAAATCGTCCCATTCATTTGCACCATCGAATGGCAAAGGATTGAGCACAGTAGCACCATCCAACAAAAACTCTACGTTAATATGACCAAAGTGAAGTCGCGCTTCTGGGTCTTCACGAAACATACAACAACGTGGCATAATTTTCTCTCGACAAACCTAAAATAAAAATGTGCAGAAGTTTGCAAAGAGCAGTTATCTGACAAAGGTATAAGAAGAGGGACGACAGGAGGACAAAAAAATGTTAAAAAAGGCAAACTACTGACAGCGCCGACGTGTTTATCGTCAATAAAAGATTCTTCAAACGTCCACTGATCCTGTGGTTTACCATCCAAAAGCACCGTTGTTGAAGTAATGAAACATTTTCGATGGTACCGTTCATCTTTATCAATACGGAAATCCAGACGACTCAAGTCTGACAACAGTCCCTCTCCAGTAGCCTGAATTAACGGCTATGTTAAACCTACAACCTTAGGGTTACAACTGTATAGCTAGCTTGCTGCAGTGATCTTCATAACTAATGGATGGCAAAATTAAAAAAAATAATTTAACGAAATTCAGCATTACAGAAGAGCGTAATACGTAACAGAAGTTCTGTAAAATCGATTAATATCTAAAATTATTTTGTCTCCTCAAGCAGAAAACAAAGTTTAAAACAACGAATGTAGATAAAACTGTGTGAACAAGTGTGAGATAAATAGATAAATTTTTGGTGTACCAGAAGATGCTTGTACGAACTACGACTATGAGCTCATTCAAAGTTTTCAGATTGAACAATCAGAAAATGTTACTTCGTTTTCTAAGTCGAATGACCAAATTAATGTCAATGTAGCGCCAAGCTGAATTATAAAACTTCTACTCAAATATCTGGTAAAAATTTAAACAAGACACTTAAATTCTGCTAAATGAAATGCTTCCTTACCAAAAACTAACTCTCACTTCTACGTCAACAGCAAACTAGATCTTAGGTTGTAATGAATGTCACAGAATGTTGATCAATCTCAATCACTGTTGTCATTAACTTCGACTTTGGCATTTCCAAAATTAAACAAAAAATCTAAACTCCCCCCTGACAAACCTCTGATATCTACTAAGGGAATCATATGAAATTTTTTCGAAGTTACACTAAGAGACGCTTCATTTCAATTTTCTGAAAATGAATCTCCGATGCATCTCATGTGCATCTCGACGTCCAAACAACTTCCTCAGTACCTACAAAGGCAGACAAGACATTCATATTCAGCATCAATCAAGTTTTTTTGAAAAGCACCTTAAGAATTGCTTCTTTCAAGCACCAATATCTATAAAAATATGCCATTTTCATCGCTTCTGTCGGTTGTGAGCGCATCATCAGCAGCTCCTCAGAGCTTGCTGAACGTGCCATAGAATTGATGTATTCATCTGCAGTTTTATTATTTCGTTCTTTGTCTAGCCTCATACAGTCCACACCAACCTTAAGGAGCAAGATCTGTGTTTCAAATTGAAAGATAAAATTGCTCTTTTGCAGCAAAAGGGTACGAGAAAAGTTGCAAAACTCAGTTTCAAAAACTATATACATAGAAAAGATGTTGATAGTCTTCAAATGAAAGAATTTTCAAAAAAATTTAATTTTCTAATTATGTTGTCTTTTGTTTTTTTTCCTCCTCAAATTACTGTTACAAAAATTAAAAAAAGCGTCAAAAAGTTAATGCATAAACACTGAATAAATTCGTAACAGACTGATTCACCTCATAACTTACTAGACGAATACTTCAGCATGCGTCACAGAATAAATTACTCACCTTTGGAGTGCAGCTGCTAGCAAATGCAACATAATCACCTTGATGTGAAACATTAATACCGAACTTAATGTTTGGTGGATTTTTTAGGTAAGGTTTTCCTTTTTCTGTTCTACCAAATTCAATATCTTTCCAATCGCATCCCGACAACCGTTTTGTAGCCTGAAAATCTATTACTGTTTAACAAAATATATCCATTCCTTGATACATTTAAAGAGCAGAGAAGTTAGAAAGCTATACCACCAATCTTTCAAATTTTTCCCAGCAGTACAATCGAAGCTAAAATAAATTTTTGCATACCTGTCTCAAGAATAACCGACCTAACAGGGAAGCCAACGCATCCTGCTGATATCGAAACTTTTGAACTTTCATCAATTCTTCCTGCAGATAAATAAATTTTAAACGAATATTTGTCATCTAAGAGGAAGCACTTTATTTTTTGTGAATATTTGGTAGGCTTTCTATTAAATCCTATCAGTAACTGCTTGTGAAGTTCGCAATAACAACCAGTTATGTAATAACCAACAGTAATAATTTTAACATACTTCGGTAATACATTGTACAGCCTTCCGAAACTGCAATTCAAAATTTTCGTTCTTTAACGTTTCACTAAGGCTAACCACTAGTCTGTGACATTTACACTTCCGTAAATCCATTATTCTGACCTCGATGGACCCTTAGATTCTGAAAAAGAAAGTAGAGCATACTTCAGCCCAACCGAAATTTCTAAAAAGCGGTGTCAGAAACCAGACAACATAAAGCGTTTAAAAATGTTTAAAAAAAAAGAGTAAAAGAAGCAAAGAAATTGCCGGTGAATGACAATTTCTGACAAACAATTGATATTAAATAAATCACTATCAATTTTTTTATAAATTACTCATACAATTCTTTAAAACAGCAAGGCGTGAAAAATAAAACAAAATCTGCTCCTGCTATCCATAAAAAATAAAATCTCAGTTCAAAACGCTGAAATTAGTTACGAGTGATTTAAAAAAATGTTCCACTTTGCTGGTAAATCGCTCAGAAATCTCTCTAAAAAATGAGATGCAAAAAAGTGCTTCTACATTATCCTGTCAATTCCACTTTTTTTAAAAATGAAATAAGCTGCTTTTGAACAACAGTAAGAAAAAAAGTAAGATTGATTTTACTATGAATATTATATAATAACGTTTGCAGAGAAGTAGCAGAATGATTTTAATCGAAAGAAATCAAAGTTTTGCATTTCCCAGCGCTTTTTTTTTCTAACGACAGCGCGGTATTCTGATAATATCTCAAAAAAGAACGATCAAATAGAACAATCGCTAAAAGAATGACGTGCTTCAAAAAGTAGTTTTGCTGTCACTGTAACGATACCTTCAAACGCATGCAATTTCTTTTTGAAATGGGGACACCTAAACAGAGGAACAAAAAAAAAAGGCCAAATGATCAAAAATTTTGACAGACGACTGTACAGAACTGAAAGGAAACAATGAGTGGATTATTAACAAAAGAACGAAGAAAAAATGAATGCATAAGCAAATAAATGTGACCGGACAGTCCTTCAAATTACTCTACAGACAACAATAATAAGCAGTCCTGGCAGAAGAATAATTATTCCAGAAACCAGTATAACGACGATACAATCCGGTCATTAGCGCTGCATTATCAATAAGCGGTAGTTTTAACAGAATATAAGGGAAAAACACTCACACTTTAATTCCTTCACTTCTACTTTTATCGTATATTCAGTTTAGTATACCAAAATAAATTGCATTAATAACACTTTGTGAAAACTCAATCATCCAAAAAGTTCTAGATGAACCAAAAATGCAGAAAAACAAAAAGATCAAGTTATTTAGGCACCCATACAGTTACCCGAACAACATTTACTCAAAAGCAAAAAAACTTTTCTTACACAAATTAGAACACAAAATATGTTATCAGATGTTTCATCTTGCAATAAATGAAAGAACTTCAATAACAAAACTTTTCTTCTTTTTCAATTTTTCCTGAAAAACAA